TTTGCTTTAAAGAATTAGGAATATCTGCAGATTTGTCTTTATCAAAATGCTTACATAAAATGTTCGGAACTAATAGGAAACTGAATACATATGCTAGGTATCTACCTGTATAACTTATCGACAGATAAGATTTATCAACCAAATTTATTTTATAAATAAAATAACAAGGACAATGGAAATATCGTTTTATTTATACTGTAACGAGACTTTTTTTTCGTTTACCCTATTGGTTATAATCAGGGCTTGTAAGTTCATGTCAGTGGCGTTCTCAGGAATTTTCAATGGGAGGGGGCTCTGAAAATTTACTAGAATATAAAAGTTAGGGATCTGCCCCCCACACCCCCCACAATCATAATAATGACAAATTTTGTACGGTTTTAACACAGATATGTATAATAATTTATTATACATATCTGTGGGTTTTAAAAAACCACATTATCACAAATTGTCGCTAAATTGTTAAATTGATAGCGCGGTCGTGTCATAGAACATGTTCTATGGTCGTGCTCCAATCCAACTTGATAACCGTAATACTGGTAATGACGTATAAACCACTAAATTATAATCAATAATTTAAAATAATTTAAAAATAATACAGCCAATGGGGGGGTTAAACCCCATGACCCCCCCTCCCGTGAGTAGGCCACTGGTTCATGCATTTGCATATCAATCTTACAAAGTTGTATTTAATGCTAGATGACATAGAAATTCAATTCAAGTTACCAAGGTTAAATATGTGAAATCTTATTTATGCATATTTCTATTTTATCAGACATATTATTCAACATTCTATTAGATTCTATCAAAAATCTAAATGGAAAATATATATAAAATTAAAAATAGAAATTGTATTATCTTTTCTTATCTTCTTGATACTTGTACATTTAATGAATACTTCTGTTTCAAAAGTTTCAGATTGAATTACTACATTTAGAATGAAATACTCACAAAGACATACATTATATGCAGTTCATGAAGGCTCAAGAATAGTATTAAATGGTATTTAAAATCTATTTTTGTTTATTGTAACATAAAAAAATAAAATATACCTAGCTATAAAAAAACTGAATGGATAATTCATGTAATTTCAAAAATAATTTATGATTTTTTTAAGTAAGCATTTTTTAAGTGCATAATTTTAGATATTTAGTGCATATAAATGCATGCTTATTTAGGCATTTTTTAGGGCATGAATTTACAAACCTTGGTTATAACTATAATACTTATTAATTTAAGGTGTCAATTATTAAATTATATAAAAACCATATAAAATACAATCAACAATTATTTGGAATTCATGGAGTAACCCTACTTAATTCTACTAAATTTAGTTTCAATATACCAGTTGAATGTATGAAGGTCAATGAACAATTAGTAAAAGTCAAAAATTGTGTGCCATTGTTCTAGATCTATTGATAATACATGGATTTATTTTTTAGTTAGGTACTTAACTACATTGTTATTCAACATATTTTTTTATGTGTCATTTATTCATGTATATTGGTACATGTATTATGTTCAAGTGTAGATTAAAAGGAGGGAATTGTAGCCGAGGTTATAGCCCATGGGCAAACTAGACTCACCGGGGATATTTATGCAAACCTAAATTTATAATTATAATAAATTCTATGTACTTTTTGTATCAAGAATATATTTTTATTTGCACCTACATGGAGTACCCACCTAATTATAGATTATAAAATTTGTAAGGTCATATCAAGAAGGAGCTCGGGCTTCATAAAAGGCCCGGGGCCTGACCATGTTCACTACGTCTCGGTTGTGGTGTCGAGTTATTTATGGATCACCAACATGAATCAATGTGTTAATAACCTACGCAAAAAAATATAGCGTATGCTGTATAGTTATAACGAGTCTATAATAAAGTGAACACTACAATATTGATCTAAAACGTAGACAAATAAAATTTTCTAGAAAGACCCATAAGCTATAAATAATTATTTTCATTTAGTCTGTGGAATAACAATGACCGCGATTATCTCTTTGGTATATACATTTTAAAAGCAGATACTGGATGTCAATGGCAAGTTTAATACCTCGTGTGTAAAGGGCCTAGATTAATTTTTCCCCGGGGTCTTTGATTTCTCTCCACGGCCCTGGTTCTATCATCCACTGAACATAAACCAGACTAAAAAATCATTATTTTTTTTTTATCTGTAGATGAGTATTGACATTGATTTTATAATATATATATATATATAAAAATGGAGCCAAAAATGTATAACAATTCATCAATTGAGAACGGCTGGTCCGATTTGGCTCAATTTTTTTTTTTAATTGTTCGTAATTGTAAGAAGAAGGTATTTACGAAAACAAAATTTTTGGAAAAACCCTTTTTTAAAATTTTTTTGATGATTGATTTTTTGAGTTTCAGAATGTTTTTTCGAATTAAAAAAACTACAGCGAGCTTTAGCTTATAAAATTATCCATATGAAATAAATTATCATTAAAATGGGGCCGCCAGCCAACACCAAAAAAAATGGATCAACGTGGAGAGTGAGTAACAGTGTTTGTTACCATACTCCTCCAAAACGGCTTAACCGATATTTATGAAATGTTGTATATACATTTGGTAGGTCTGTGAATAGGTTTTTATCAATTTTTTATACTCCTAAGTGCTATTGTTTAATAAATCGTAGTTTAATTTAATAATTTTTAATCCGGTCGATAACTGCGCAATTGAAAATTAATTATTAAATGATACTATTAAAAAACTATTTAAAAACTATTAAATTTATTTTTGGTATTGATTGACGGGTATTGCATAAATATTAACCAACAAGATCCCGCGACAGGTACCAAAACAAACAAGAATATTAGTTCGAAGGGTTATTATGCATATCGGTTGATGATTAGACGCGATCAGGATAACGTTATTCTACGATATCGTGAGCTTTGTCAACAGTTTATGGTTGACATGTATGTAAAGGTAGAAAGCGAACAATTACGATACTTCCGATTTAATCAAAAAAAGCTGCGTGCGGAAGGTTCTCAAAACAATTGTTAGATATCAGTGATGGGAAAGTTATTACAGATAAAACGGGAAGCATACAACTACCGACCGATTTCTGCACAATCATTGATTTGCAAGATGCTCTCATTAACCAGATATTTTACCATATACACAGAAAATACACAAATCATGAGTGGCTGGCAGAAAGAGCAATTTTAGTAGCAAAAAATGTGGACATCAACGAATTGAATCTCAAGATACAACATTTATTACCAGGAGACTTGGTGTCATACAAATCTATTGATAGAGTTTGTGATGCTACTGAAGCTGTAAATTATCCAACAGAATTTTTAAGCTTATTGGATTTACCAGGCATGCCACCGCATAATTTACAACTGAAGGTTGGATCTCCGGTTATTTTGCTTCGTAATTTGAACCCACCACGGTTGTGCAACGGCACACGATTGGTCATTAAAAAATTAATGAAAGATGTTATCGAATCCATCATATTAATTGGCAAATTCTGAGGTGAAAATATATTATTACCGCGAATCCCTATTGTACCCACAGATGTTCCAATAAAATTTATACGCCTTCAATTTCCAATTAAATTGGCATTTGCAATGACTGTAAATAAGTCTCAAAGTCAAACGATATCTGTCTGTGGCTTAGATTTGAGCACATCATGTTTTTCACTCGGACAATTATACGTGGCGTGATCTTGAACCATCCAGTTTTTATCGTCTTTTACTAAAATTGTCATACTTAGCGATATATATAATTTTAAAGTATCAATTTTAACAAAATATTAAAAAATAAATGTTTGATGTGTTTTCATTTTTATATTTCATCACTGTTCACAGCACTCCATACCTCTTTCACTTATATACCACATCCTTACACACCTATATTAAATTAGTTATTTTTTTCTAGCAAAATATTCTCTAACCTCTTCCACTTATATATCACATCCTTACACGCTTAAATTAAATCAGTTGTTTTTTATAGCAAAATATTCTCTAGAAATAATTTATATGTCAAAACAGCGTTTTCGGGTCAGCTAGTTTATATTGTAAAATCAATGGTATAGAATAGAATATTATAATATAGATTCTTAGTTATAAATGGTTCCGTGTATAAGAATAAAAATAATAGGTACCGCTTCATTGTGGTCTTATTACCTAATATTATAACATTGTACTGACCATTGTGCAGTTCTCACAGATATTACTTTCACTTTCATCCTAAGTGTACTTACTCAAATGTTCATAAAAAAAATTTCAAAGACATAAAAACATGAACGGATGTGTTACCTATGATTATTTTGATTTAAATATTTTTTCAGTGGCCTAGGAAATAGGAAAACAATTATTTCTGTCTTCGTATGAAATAGGTATTTTATTTATTTTTCGTAACTACCTATTGAACTGCGTACGGAATTACAATAAATTGCTACTTTATCCATAAGACAATAGATTTAATGCATTTAATTTAAATCGTCACTCAAATTCCAAGATCAAATTGTTATATTTATCAAGAAATTATTCAATATTATTGTCACGATACCTAAATATTGCTACTATGTTAAAAATTAATAGTTTACAAAAGTCACATTATTCGATCTGTTAACTTTTAATAACTAGTAACTGAAATGTAATAATAATAAACCTTGTCACTAAACCAAGTGGTATTGAAAAATTATAGTTTTTAAAATAGGACAAAATAACACATTTAATTGTATCAAAAATACATAATAGCAGCGAATGCATCCGTTAGATGGCGGTCGTAACTCTATGCTATTGATACGGTACAATTTGCCAAGTAAACGTTTTAGAAACTTAAACAATAAAATTCTTAGTTAAACATGAATATATATTTAGTTTATAAAATAGAATAAGTATTTCCTGTTTAACTCGAAACTCGATGATACAACACTCGGTATCCGTTTCAAGTGTAAATAATTGAAACTTTCTTAGATACCTTTGAACCAAAGAACGTGTATTTCACTCTTTATAACAAACAATTGCTTTAACTCCGGTTCCCTTTTAAATCGAAAAATCTTTCGCCTTTTATTAAAGATTTCCGTGGTGGGGAACACTCAAAGGAGTCTAGAAAATAATTTTTAAACCGCTTGATTTCGATCGGGCTCATATCAACATAACATATCTCTCTACGTTAAGATTATCTTACTTGCTTCATATCTGCTATATATATTGTTCCTCTCTTAATATCTACATTAATATTTTCATAAACGTAATACATGTTTCTTTCCACATAGATGAATGAAAGAAAAATGTCCATGCCTTATGTATCTTGAAACTCAACTCTCTACGTTAAATGAACAATACAATCTTGGAGCATTCCCGCATTAGCGTGTAAGTGTACTAGTAGCATTGATTAAATATATTTAATCAATGCTAGTAGTATCTAACAGGGGCGATTTCAAAAAGGCCTGCGATAGTATACATCGACAAAGTCTCTACAACATAATGGCGGAGTTCGGGATCCCACAAAAATTAGTGACGTTAACAAAAATGTGCATGGAAAATACACAGTACAAAATAAGGGTTGAATCTACGGTGTTAGAAGCCTTTGAAGTAAGAATTGGATTGAAACAGGGAGATTCATTATCACATTCCCTATTCAATATAGCTCTAGAAAAAGTTATAAGAGAATTGCAGTCAGAAACAACTGGAGTGGAAATCGGTCAGCAACACATACAAGTATTGGGATTTGCAGATGATTTAAATATACTAGGAAACTCCCTAGAGGAGACAATAAAAACAGCCTAGGCCCTTGAACAAGCAGTCAGCAAGATAGGTTTGAAAATTAATGCTGAAAAAACCAAAGTAATGGAGTTGCTAGAAAATGGAGACAACCCTGACACGGGGTCCCTAACCTTCGAAAAAGTAGATGAATTTCGATATTTAGGAGCTATGCTGTGTGCTAAAAATGATTGGTCGAAGGAAATAGGTGTGAGATTCGCCAAGGCGGAAAGAGCGGCATTTGCCTTAAATAAGTTCTTAAAATCAAAATTGTTTTCAAAAAAGACTAAAACCAGACTATATACAGTAATAATAAGACCGACGCTCACCTATGGCTGTGAAGCATGGACTACTACCAGCACAACCGAAAAAATACTTAGGACCTTTGAAAACAGAATTTGGAGGACAATTTATAGACCAATTTATGATAGCGTCAATTTAACATGGAGGAGAAAATACAACAAAGAACTACAAGACGAATTGGGAATTGCATCAGTTATCAGCTTTATAAGAGGGCAAAGGATCCAATGGTTAGGACACGCGATGCGGAGAAGTGAGGATGATATAAGTAGAACAATCCTAAACTGGAAACCAATGGGAAAGAGACCGTGAGGAAGACCCAGGAAAAGGTGGTTGGATGTTGTGGAAGAAGACCTTGAAAGATTGGGAGTACAAGAGTGGAGGGAAGTAGTACAGGACCGTGAAAAATGGAGAGATATTGTGATGGCGGCCAAAACTCTTAGAGAGTACTAAGTGCCAGAGGAAGAAAAAGAAGAATAATCGATTATTTTAAGAGTATAAACTATTAATTGTTATTAATTATTAGTATTACTCACAGTTATATTTTGTTTTTATATATCTGTGATATTACCATTGAACATTATTAGGTATCTTATAGAAGTATTTATCAGTATGATTATTTTAATTTTTACTTAAATACAATATTAACAAATTTACTACTATAGAAATTGATCAGTCGTTTATTTAATTATATTACTCGACTAATAATAGTATTTTCCGAGAAAGCATTTTTCATTGATCTTTAAACAATAAATAAATTTGAAATACAATTCATCAAAATTCGCAAGAGAAAAATATCAACCATGTATATACAAAGTAAAAATTATAAAAAAAACTTAAAGCATACTTTTTATACCGATATTAAAATAATAAAATTTTTTTAAAAAAATGTAAAAAAAATATATAATTATACTTGTTACATTATATTTAATGATCAATAATTTTAATTAGTTTCCTACATAGTTAATGGTTGAATTTTTTTTGTGATATCTCGATGATTCAATACCAAGATTGTCTACGAAGGTAGATTCATTTAACGGAGAGACTAACTGCAAATCTCTAGGGACTAAGGATAGTTATTTATACTTAACATAGGTTATAATTATTTAAAACTAATAAATGAACATGTACATAATATATGAATTTTTTATACTTAAAAAAGTGATGGAGAATTTTAGAGTCGGTGTGAAGTTAATTTGAAAAAATATTCATGTAATCTGCAAAATCAATTATATAATATTGTAATCCATTTTGTAATGTAATTTATTCGTTTATTAGTAGAATATGTAAATAGGAAGGTAAGTCTCATAGATTCAGCATATATATTACTTAAACTAAAAAAATCTAGTTCAACATGTGTTTTTTAATGTTTTGTCATTTTAAATTGCATACATAGCGTGAAGAAGGTTGTATCGTATTCACATGTAACTATCCGTTATATTTGTGGTAAATCGAAATAGTCATATTGTTATGCACTGTAGTTGAGTGTTGACATCATTCCAATCTCACAATGCTATTTATAAGTTTTATTCTATATACTTATTATTTTGTTTTGATCGGCATTACTAGTTCTCAACATAAAAAAATCATTCTTTGCAAAATATTACCTCTCTTAAAACAAATGTATTTAAATCAAATTGATACAAATTATTTATTCACAGGCTATTTACCTTATATGCTGATATATTAGAGGTACATACTTTTATATACAATTTATTAGTAAAAATCAAATATTTTTATAATACGTCGTAAAATAAATAAAAACTATGTTTATATTTACTTAATTTTATGAAATTATTTACATTAGTAGAAACTAATAAAATAATATTTATAAATTACTTAATAGTAATAAAAAAATACCTGTATTGGGTAGGCAGTATTCTGGGTAGATTTTTTACGAGGCTATGAGGATTAATATATGGTACTTACTATATTGTAACCGTTACAAATTTAGAAGTGATAATTAATAATTAATTAATAATATATAATCGTATAACAAAATTGTAATGTTGTTATACTTAATAAAATTATTTTTAAATGTTAATGTCTTATTCAGTGGCGGATTTAGCGTTTTGGAGCCCCTAGGTTTAATAAATCTGCCCCCCCCCCATATAACATTACTAAGGAACCAACAATATTTAGTCTAAACCCTTCTTTTCAAATTTTATTCAGTTTTTTTATCAAAAAAAAAAAAATATATAAAATATAAAATCTTTAAAATAGAAAACTTCTAAAAATAAAATATTTCATGTCTATTATTTTACTTCAGATACCATTTTATCAGTACAAATAAACAATGCTTATACAGTTACATAACGGAAATATAAATAGCCAGATATGAAAATACCTATACTCGGATAGTCGGATGTTCCCATTAAGTACATAGGTATTAATAAGTTATTAATAACTAGTAACTAATTGTAATTATTTTATTACAAATTAAATATTTTCAAATTTTAATAATTAGGCTTAGGGACTTATAGCTCTAAAAAATACACAAATATGTTTCTAAAATTATTAAAATATGCATTAAAAATAAAAATAAAAATGACCAGATAGTACACAAAATAAAACGTGTCCATCAGATTTAAATATATTTTTAAACTCTGAAACAAAACTTTGTAGTCGGCTACTCGTAAACTGTTATACTTTCGGCATAACACAATGTATACAAATTATCGCGTACGACGTTTTACGTATGATTCGAATTTGTGTGGTTGAGAGACACAAAAACAACGACGGATAATCAACTGAATTGAACACTAAACAATTAATCTATTATTCTATATCGACTATTATTATTATTATTACTATTATTATTTTTATCGACATCCGGTCAATATCCAGCGGGTTATACGGTCGATACGGGTTTATAGTATTATTTATACTTACACAAAAATTATAACGAGATATGAGAAGTAGTTTGCAGATAGCATATTACTGGAAGTATTAAGTCCTCTTAGTACATTTTTTTTTTTGATCGGTTAAAATATGTATAGGTATATAGTTATATGTATCTATAGTTTTTAATTTTAAATAATAAACTTTGAGAAATTTGTCAAAATATGCTAAATAAGCATAATAATGTTAAGATAAGCATTAATATAAAATAAGCATTCTCCTGCAAAATCTATCAAATATGCAAAAATATGCTCATTCAAATTTTAGATCTGATATCATGGCACCGAGAAACGAATTTATTTCACACTCTGCTATATTTAACAATAATTAAAAAAAATATGCAAATGCTAGAAGTCCCTAAACCTAGTAATAATAATTGTAATATTTTTACTATAGCCTATAGGTACGCAACATACAGTGTGCATATTAATATATTATTATAACTTTTTAAAATTATTTTTATTCTTGTTTATATGACAAATATAAAAAAATTATATTAAAATAAATATACCTAATAAGTCAATAACACTTAATTCTATAAAAAAAAACCGTCCTCCCAAAAAAGCCGCCCTAGGCTCTAAGTCTTTGAATCAAATACATAATCGGCCCCCTCCAAAATGAAAATCTATATACGCCACTGTTATATAGTTAAACCTTTGAACGTTGTATGACATCGAGAAATATGATCTTTGAATATCTATTAATAAATTGCATTACTGTAGTCCATACATTTAATCAATGCAATTATATTGAGTGATGTGTAGTTGTTAGTAATTTTAAATATAACATGATTACTAAATATAAAACATTTTAAAATTTGGGTTATTTTTTCAAATAGACTGGTGTATTGTGTTGAAGAACGATGTTTTAAAATTTAAATTTAATTACACATAACCTAGCCAAACCTAGCGTTCTCATTGATTCAGCAAACAATCAACATCTACATTACAGTTGTAATTCCAGCCAAATTCAAACTATTAATATTATTTTTAAGGAATGCTCGGAAACAGTGGCGTGCCCAGGAATATCTTATGGAGGAGATGTTATCTTGTGGTGGAGTGGGAACTAAATCTAGGCTAGGAAATAATGGTTCAACCGGGAATTTCTAAATATCACATTTGTTTATTATAGTTATAAATTGTATTATAGTTAACTTATTTCTTAATATATACATATACATGA